AGGTGGCAGGCATTCATTCTGCCGCCTGCACACCTGCTGCCCATTTGTCTGTGATTACACCTGCTATATCGAGGTGCTCCGGCTGTCGACTCCTTGCCGGAGTATTCCATGCCGTGCCACCGCTGTTGCCCATGAATTGTTAGCGCTACTCTTACTCTATTTGATAATTGTTACACTTTCCGACGTCCCTTTGTGGAAATTCTAATTGTGTGCGTATTCTAGTATTTGCCTAATCTTTTTCCTTGCCGTTTTTTGCAAGCGCTTTTCGTTGTTGCGTTTATTGCATTTCCTGGTGATCGTTATTTACCAGCGTTTTCTGTTGTCTATTAGACGGAGTTTTTGTTTATAATAAATATTATTTTTTGTGACGAAGTCCTTGTCAGTGTCTGCTATTTCGGGGATCCACTTATTCTCGTTTTTCCTGTTACGTACGGAGCGGTTCCTTTTCCGCTTTGTGCGTAACGTGACAGGTTACATTCGGTGCAGAAGAACGAGCCGATCAAACAACTTTGGGATGAACAACTACTAGTAGCTTTGAGCCAAGCTGGCTCATTGCTAATGCACTCCGGGACAGTTGTAGCAAACTTGCCTGGGGGGAAGTTGTAGCAATTCTAAAATTATACAATTTACCACGAGCTCAATTTGACTGTCATGCATCAGTACATCTTCAATTTTTATTGGATAAACAATTGCCCATATAAACTCCCTTTAACAAAGACACACCTGTCAAGCTGATACTGTTAGTACGTAGAACAGATGAGTCGTGAGAAGGCGAAACATTTAATAAGCTTGCTAAAAATATATTTGTTGTAGCTGGTACACAGTGTCACCTTTCGTACCCCTTTATTCTCATGATCTGCAGAACCACAATTTTGTTTTAATCTTTTGACCAAGCTTTCAATATCTTTCACAATTATCGTGGCCTTTATTCCATAATGTTACATTTCACTCCAAGGTATGTTATACATCTGACCCAGATCAAGGGATCAGTAGTGACATGTCACTCCTTGAATTTGAGATTCAGGTCTAACATTGAACATTCCACCAGATGTCCTCCAACATCTTGGAGAAAAACTTCACAGGAAAATGGAAGCTGCTATAATTGCAAAGTTGGAGAAACTATATACTTAGTCTGTGCTTTTGTCAGAACAGTAATTAGTTATTCATCATGTTATATTCTGGCAACAAAATGTTAAACTTGTCCCTCTCTCAAACGTGATTGAGTGCAGGATTTACAAGAGTAAGACATAAACAAAGAGCAGCGTAATATTTCCCCAGGAATAGATGATTACGATGCTGTCTTTGTTTCCACAGAAACCTTGGACCAATCCAACACAAGAGGTGTCAAAATTAAAAAAATAGATTTAAATCATTCTCATTGACATTTTCAGAGACAAACTGTATGAATAAAACGATGTTTATTGTTGTAGTACAGTTATAATATTCCACCTCAAAACATGTCATGTTGGTGAGGAATAACGATGCTGTGCTGAGATTATTTTTTTTAAGAAAAAAGCAGCACAGAAATTTGTTGCTGTTGCCCATGAAGTTGTTCCACTTTGGAAGGACATCAACAACATTAATAGGGACAGGGTCTTAGAACAATATTGATGCCTCCGCCCTCAACAAATCTCCACAGCTGCACAGTGAACCTGTATGACCTCCATTAACAACAGAGGGGCATCAGCGGTGGATATGAGATTTTTTTTTATTTTTTTGGATGAGAACATTATGTGCCATAACAACACTGAAAAACTCAAACACAAGCCCTTCTTCGTCCTCCAAAAATATGATGACGCACGTTAATAACCAAAAATACTCTTTATAGTTTTTAACTTGAAAGAAAATAAAATACCGTGGCTATTTTGAATCACATCGGGAATGCTGAGCGTCATTTATAAAGCAACAGCCGACTATTAACTTGAAAAATTGAAACGGACAAGGTCACTAAAATAAGAGCACAAACTGCACTCACGAAAGGAACAGGAAGGTAAAAACCCAAAGTTACTATTATGTGGGAAATAAACACAAATGTTTCAATGGAAATCAAAATTAAAACACTGTATCGGCACTTCTATTTTCGGTTCTTTATATTCGACTCCAGAGGAGTTGTGTCTCACCAGCCATGAACCTCACCGCACGTCACACATACACACATATAGACAATTAAGAGTCCTCAATTAGCCCAAGCTGCATGTTTTTGGTGTGAATCTGGGTCCCGAGAGAGATCCCACACAAGTACTGGAAGAACAGGCTAACTGCACACAGAGCCTGAGTCAAAATTTGAACCCGAGGACTCTTGAGTGTGAGACAGAGACCCTAACCACTCTATCACCACGCAGCCGTGATACTCTATAATAGTGGTTCTTAACCTGTGTTCAATCGAACCCTAGGGGTTCGGTGAATCGGTCTCAGGGATTCGACGAAACCTCTGCCTTACAATTAAAAAAAATAATAAAAAAACTATACTTGTGTCTTGACATTTTATTTACTTTTTTCCTATTTTTAATAAATGAGTTTTTTATGTCTTGACTTGAGGAAAAATCCTATTTTTTTTCACTAATGAAGGGTTCGGTGAATGTGCATATGAACTGGTTGGGTTCGGTACCTCTAACAAGGTTAAGAACCACTGCTCTATAACTATGAAAAACAAAGCACACTCGTATTCAGAAAAGGATTACGTGCCTACTATTAATCCTGTTGCAAGGTAAAAACAAGACAAGACACATGACAAGTCGCAGGGGGTGCTGTGTGTCTGCCCTCTTTGGATTGTAGTGCAAAAAAAAAAAAAAGAGTGCCTCTGCTCTGCGGTTGTGCTTCTTGAAATCAATGCCACCCCTGAAGGTCACCACAGTTACCTCCAAACCCAATTAAGAAGCCATTTGTGTGCTGGACATGTGAGCAGAGCGACTTACCCACGTGGGAAGACTGACAACAACGCAATTATATGAAATGCTTTCGCTACGTTTGTCCTCAGACGCTCAAGGATGCTATTACTGAGCCCGTTGCATTTGTGTTCACTACAGCACTCTTGTTTATTCAAATGAGGGATGATGGTGAGGCTTTTTATGCAATAGCGGCCCCAACATTTGGTCCAAAAATTAAAAATCCAGTTACGGAGATCATAATATTTAACTCCTTGTGGAATGACACTGCATCATACCTTACAAAAAATACTGGTTTTGCTTCATTTAAACAGTGTACATATATTATCCATCCATCCATCAATTTTATATATCGATTATCCTCACTCGGAGGCAAGTGACATGAAGCCCATCCCAGCGGGCTTCAGGCAAGAGGCCAGGTGCACTTTGTAGGCTACTGTTAGACGGCCAATTGAAGGGCACATGCAATGTAGACATTCAACCAGTAACACTCACATTCAAATCTACAGACAATTTAGTCTTCGCTTAACCCCTTAGGCTGAGGGCAACTTTGCCAAAAACGCCGAAAAAATACGTGGCTAATCCGTTCATGCTAAGTGAAGCTACGATCGCAAATGCATCAAAAATAGTGATATTGGTAACGTTTGCAGCTGCAGATAACGTAGCTTTATGGATGTAAAGCTAGGCATGGACACACTATTTTACCGGAATACTTTGACTGGACCCTTGTCGACGTAATGGGACCATGATTGATGGAGGTGGGACATTTTCGTGTACATTTATGACCTTGTTATGGTGAGTCGCCATTTTGTTTTTTCGATCTACGATTGTCTGACATAAATGCTCACTCAGTCTGCAGATATGATTGCATTGTAAAATGTTGGGCACCATTCAAATCTCCAGAAACTCAGCTTTTCAAATATGTACACGTTCACACATGTACTTAACTGACGACGTGCATCAGCGATTTGTTTTGACAGATGACGGAGGGCCCCACCGTGGGCCGTCCTAACTTTAAAGGGACGTGGATGTGCAAGTTTGTGAATGCAGCGGGGAGCAGAAGTACCTGCAGACAATCCAAGAAAGCACAACGCGAACCCACATTGAGAACTGCAGAGTAAAAACAGAAAAATTGAGCATCAGGTTTTATTTTTCACATTTTGTTTACCTCTGAACTCCAAGCGACTCGTTGCAAACTCCCTAATACCCAAAAAGAAATTTCGGAAAAAGAAAAAATAAATATTACAATTTGTTGTGACTTTTACAAAACTATCCATACATTTCTTTTTTTCAAATCAAAGTCAGGGATTTATAAAGTCATTTAAATTCACCTCAGAAGAAGAAATAAAAGCTGTTCATAAACAGGAGAATCTCTCGTTTAAAATAAAATAAGACAGGATGTACTGAAGACTGTTGTCCTTATTTTGATATTATAGCATCTTTGTAGGAAGAAAAAAACGAATGACAGAAGTATGACGTCCTCGGTGAACGACGAGTAGTCATGACGACACGCAGGCAGACGTCATGTTACCGACAAAGTCGGATGTAGGAGATTTTATAGATACCGCCGCATCTTGTGTGGTCTAGCTGACAGTCAGGGGGGAAAAAGAGTCCATGTAAGTATTACTTTTGAACCCCTTTTCTTTCGATGAAAGTACCGCTACTCGGTACTTCAATGAGTTGATACCTCCACGAACATAAAGCTGCACTATTTTGTCTGTTTTTCAGTCAAATTGTCGTATGTTCAAACGATTATTTTGAGTTGTCCAAGAAGCAGAATAGGGGAGAACAAGTGTTTCCTTTGCGCTAAGGAGACGCGTACTCACTCGCTTGGATCATCATTATTATGCTGCGTCCCGGACTGTCGTAAAATCTGAAATATGACACGTTGGTCCTACGAGCTCAAACGTTAGCTAGCTTGTAAATATAATGGATTTCCCAGGGGATTTTTTTAATGACAACAACCATCATTTTACCTGACGACTACTTCAATCACGTTACTCAATAATTTGATCCAGATATAGTGTAGCTGCAAAAGTTATTACAACAATCCTAATCTTACTTGACTGACACTTAAATTACATTTTACCTGATGTACTGTATCTGCAAACCAATTTAAGAGGTTGTGCAGGTTCTGTTCATTGGCAATATATTGTATAACCTATAAACCTGCAGGCAGCTGTGCAATTTATAGTCTTGAAATCCAACTGAGAAGAGGGCCATCGTCAAGTACCTGAGTCGTTCCAGTGAAGGCTGGTTATGGACTGTAAATATAGGTATAGTACAATAAGTGGGCATCTGTTTCAAATGCAAATATTTGTTCAAATATTTTTTAAACTACTACTATATGGTCTCAATGCTCAACAACAAGTCCAGAGAATGAGTCCTTCATGAAGTTTCTGACTTGACTGTTTCTAGACGATGTTGTTAAATTTGAGACACCACTCACACTGAAAGGTCTTGGTCAGTTGAAAAGAAGCCTGACCCTCTCCAAGAGAGGCCTGTGCATGTCTCCGCTCTTCATCCTCCTCCTCCTCCTCTTCGCCGAGGCGTGGAGCTACGAGGCTCCCAAAGACAAGCAGGATGTGTTTGCAAAAAAAGCCTGTCCAGCATTCCTGATCTTCTTCAACACCGCCTACCAGGCAGGAGCAACGGTGGAGCTGCCTTGCCACTGCAAACCGGAAGTGGTGAGACCATTGACAGTGACAACAATTATCCAGTGATTCAGTGAAGAATGTTGGTATGAGTGGAATGTCAACGTGGAATACAATCAACTGCTTAATCCGTAGTTGGTTCAAATGTGTTTAATGGATGGATGGATATTTTGGGGTCAAACTGTCATCATAGAACCTATATTGCCTGCATATGGAATGATTTTTGTAATATTGTAACATTCTTTGCTGTAATGCAATTCGACCATTGTGTATATTTCAGGTCCAATCGGTGGTTTGGTTCTTCAGGAAGCACCAGTCTGACTCAGAAGAGACCAGAGCCCTGTCCGATTACAATGGGAACAAGCTGCTGGAGTCCAATCAAATTACCCACAGCGGTGACCTGCGGAGTCGCTTCACAATTCGTCTCTTCAGCCTGCTGATCTTTCGAACGGCTGTTGACGACTCGGGTATCTATATCTGCGGGTCAGCCAAGGGAGACTACTTTTATGCCTACGATCTCGACATCCAAGAGGTGCAGGAGCTCAGCTTCACGTCAAGGTTAGGAGTCATGCTGGTGATGATTGTATGGGTATTGATATTGTCCTGCCACCACGCAAAGCCTTCCCAATATACATGTTGAGAAAAATAATGGTGCAAACAAGGATGTTATAGTACAAAAAAAGATGTGGATATGCAAATGATCTGAAGTGCTCTTGGGGAGAAATACACCCTCAGTGATTCAGGTTCTTCATTGTCGCTTCCAGGCTGACTTCTGAAAGTATGAGCAACCCAATAAAAGACATAAGAGGACCAAGGTCTGGTCAGCCGCTCTACCAAGTTTTCACGGCTTTCCGTCCATGGTCACGTTGCGATCGCTGTGGCATGCAGGGTGAGCAGGTCCGAGTGGGGCTCTGCTACGTCCGTTCCCGGTTCCTGCACGTCCGTTACACGCGGCTCAATCGGACTGTGGTGTCCTGCGGCTCAGGGGCGGTGCCTCAGGCATTCAGCCACCTGAAGGGAAACAGAGCTGGAGCCAGACTGGAGGTCAGAGGCTGCAATGTGACTTGTCCAACGGAAGCGCCTCCCACTTCCAAATCGGATAAAATGACTGTTACGGGTAACAGGTGAGCACACCAGATTGAAAGGAGCAGTTGGGTGCAAGGCTCGACATTTTTCTTTGCGGAGCGATGTTGCAAGTCAGTGACTTCATTTGAAGATCAACTTTCTAATTTTAAGGAGGAATTGTTTGCAGGTTACTCCCTGGGATCAATTGAACAATTGTTTTGTTTTTATGTAATCACCTGTTTTTATTTCTTAAATTCAGATTGTGGAAGGCAGCAATCTATTCGTGTCTAGAAACATTTTCAGTGGGGTAATTTCGAACACAGTTCAGGGTGTCCCCCGCCTACTGCCCAAAGACAGCTAAAATAGGCTCCAGCATGCCCACGGCTCTCGTGAGGATAAACGGATTAGAAAATGGATGATTGGAATTTTATTATTATTGTTATTATTATTATGTAGAGTATTTGTCCAGTCGCCCGGTGGTCCAGTGGTTAGCACGTCGACCTGACAGGGCAGAGGTACCGGGTTCGATTCCAGCTCCGTCCTCCCTGTGTGGAGTTTGCATGTTCTCCTCGGGCCTGCGTGGGTTTTCTCCAGGTACTCCGGTTTCCTCCCACATTCCCAAAACATGCATGGCAGGTTAATGGAACACTCTAAATTGTCCCTAGGTGTGACAGTTCGCAGGGATGGTTGTTCATTTATGTATGCCCTGCGATTGGCTACCAACCGGTTCAGGGTGTTCCCGCCTACTGCCCGAAGACAGCTGGGATAGCCTCCAGCACACCCCGCGACCCTTGTGAGGATAAAGCGGATCAGAAAATGGATGGATATTTGTCCAGTGCAAGATTTTAAAAAGGCCATTAGCATTGTGTGATTAAATAAAATAAACTACATTTCCCAAACATCTCTTCAATATGCCTTCTTCTGAAATACTAATATGGTCTTGGTAAATGGTCTCTCACTTGAATAGCGCTGTTCCACCTATGAAAGCACACAAGGTGCTTTACACTGACTTCATGTTCGCAAGCTGATAGCACAGCATCAGGAGCATGTAGGGACTTATTATATCAAGGACACTTCAATATGGTCACAAGGGCCGGGGATCAAACTCACAATCTCTGATTCAGCAGAGGATCACTCTAACACTGGGCCACACCACCCCCAGTATATCGTGAAATAAGAAAATAAAATGATATCATAGGCGGCACGGTGGACGACTGGTTAGCACGTCTGTCTCACAGTGCGGAAGTTATGGGTTCAAATCTGGCGCCGGCCTTCCTGTGGCGAGTTTGCATGTTCTCCCTGTGTACCAACAGGGTACATGTGTGGTATTTTGATTGAATGCTCTAAATTGTCCCTAGCTGTGATTGTGTGTGTCAACGGTTGTTCCTCTATATGTGCCCTGCGATTGGCTCGCAACCAGTTCGGGGTGTACCCTACCTATGGCCCGAAGACGGCTGGGGTAGGCTCCAGGTCACCCGTGACCCTCGTGGGGATTGACGGATCAGATCATGGATATGGAAGTTCTGTAGCTGTTCACACACTCACACTATTGCAGTTTGTCTTCTCTCTGTGTTGCAGTTCTGATTCCATGACGAAGCAGGTGATGCAGGTTTCTTACCTAAACCACCCAGCAGACCATATCCTGACCCTCGGCTGCCCGGAGGCCCGGCCATACATGGCCGTGGCGTGGGACAGAGGATCCAAACCCATTTATCGTTCACAAAGTTTGGTAGATGGGAATGCAGGCGTCATGTCTCGGAGGATTCATATTGATGCTGGACATCATCTGGTCTTCACCCCTGCTCAACGTGAGGATTCAGGTACGGACTGTATTTGAAAGCTCTTGAATCTATTTGGAAGACTTGACTGTGAATGTTTTTTTTTTCTTTGCACACCGTGTTGGACTATGGATTAGCATGTCTTGACTCACAGTTTGGAGATTCAGTATTCCAGTACCCTGTGTGGCAAACCCATTAACATGTATGTTAGGTTAACTGAATCTTCTAAATTATCCATAGATCTGAATGTGAGTGTGAAAGTTTGTCTAAATGTGCCCTACGACCAGTCCAGGGTGTACCCCACTGCGATGACTGGTTGAAAATGATGGGTGAATTTTTGTTTGCTTCAAATTAGATACCTTTACCGACTTTTTACATTTCAGGTGTCTACTACTGCTGGCTGAGGGGACGCCGAGTGGCTGAGATAAACCTGCTGGTCTACCCCCATTTTAAACGGGGCATGTCGGTCACATCAAATCCAGACTTGCCCTTGGCTTTGCAGATAGTTTTAAAATCGTATGCCGCCATGACGGCGGTGTTTTGCCTCCTGATCTTGCTTCGAGTCTGCATTAGACACCTGCGGAGTGGCACATTGAGGTGAAACTTGGTTGTTTATATTTTATTTGTACAGAATAAAATCAAGTTTCGAAAGACATTCCTGAAAGAGAAAGTAATATCTCATTCCCTCCAAAGACCACAGTAAGCACACGAAACATAAACATACAAAAAAATAATCTCAAAGAATGGATCTTTGTTAAACTACCTCTGCCAGTGACATACAATGGTAGTCTTCCAGTCTGTGCTGTCCTTTCGATGATCTCATTCCTGATTCTGCCCATCCTCATCACTCACAGAGAATCTCGGCATTTTCAGCTCTACCACCACGAGCTCTCATCCCTTCATTGCAACATCTCCAAACTATATGGCTGATCCCCGTAGTGTCCTATAAACCTTTCCTTTCTTCTCCCTTAACTCTCTTTTTCACCTCTCCTCCACACTCAACTTTGCTCTGAACAGTTCATCCCAAGTGCTTAAACTCCTGTTCCGTCTCCACCTCGACTCCTTTTAACCTTTCATTGCACTCGCTTTTATTCGCACGTGTACTCAGTCTTGCTGTAACTAACCTTCGTTCCTCGTCTCTCCAGTGCATATTCCACCTGCTCCCTCTTCTCACTGCAGATTACGGTGTCATCTGCAAGCATCAGTACAGAAGATGCCTTTCTGACCCAACCTGTCACTGTCAACCTGTCTGTCACCATATCAAACAAGAAGGGGCTCAGGTTTGATCCTTGATGTCGTCTTTCTTCACCTTCAAGTGTTCTGCCACTCCAGCGGTCCACTTTCCCACTGTCTTTCTTCTCATATGTGACCTGAACTCTTTTAACATCCATTTTGTAATCCGCTTATCCTCATGAGGGTCGTGGGCGTGCTGGAGCCTATCCCGGCCGTCATCGAGGGGACACCCAGACAATCTCAGGGCACACATAAACGAACAAACATTCACACACGGCACAATTTAGAGTGCTCCATTAACCTGCCGTGCATGTTTTTGGAAAGTGGGAGGAAACCGAAATAACCATAGAAAACCCACGCAGGCACGGGGAGAACATGTAAACTCTACACAGGAAGGCTGGAGCGGGAATCGAACCCTGCACCTCTGCACTGTGAGGCAGACGTGCTAACCAGTCACTCACCGTGTTGCCCTCTTTTAAACATATTTCTGTAAATCCAGATTTCATCATACAGTTCCACATTTTTTCCTAATCCACCAAAACACAAATCAGCTTCTCTTGAATTTTCCTCTACATCTCCATCAGCATTCTCAGGGCTCTTTCTAAGGATAAAACCATACTTCTGATCAAAAATGTCCACATCTTGTCTCAACCTGGCCTCCCCACTTGACAGTTTTTAACTTCTACCATTTGATCATCCGCTCTACCTTCTCTATTCCTTTTTATCACCTCCATTCTCAACTTACACACCACTATCTGATGCCTCCCATCTGCGCTCTCCTGCACCACCTTACAGTCTCAAATTGCCTCAACTCATCAGAATATCCTGGGCCCCAATCGATACAGTATGGAATTCAAGTTCATGTATCCCGCACCATTTCTGCAGGCACTCGAAATAAACTTGCTTGTGACCCCAAGTGGCCACCGTTAATATAAAAGAAAAATGGTCTTAATTTTAATTTGAGGCAAAGGCAAAACTGGAGGTGAGTCATTGATTCAGATTTGGAAGACAAAAGTTGCTTTTTTTTGTGCTACAAATGACCTGGCCATTTGTCCATTTTTAAAATCAATTGTGGCCTTTGGGCACAAATATTTGACTCCTGAGTTTCCAGTGTCAGGAGTACACATGCAGGCAATGATTTAAACTGAAGAACCAGTTGTTCAAAATGAGGTGGCCACTGGGAGAGTGTGTTTGGTCTCCTGCCACAAGAAGCATCTTTTCAGCAACTCAATGTGACGGCTATCATTGGCACTCCTGATGGACTCGTGTTGTCAATTTAGAGGTGGCGAAATGAGGAGCTGCGGGTAAAGAGGAGGCCATCTGTAGAGGAACAAGAGTTGCACTCATCCTTTCTGTAAGCGTGACACATTGTATAAATGAGGACACAACATCCATTTGCTTTTTTTTCCTCTTATGTGCTGCCACTCTTCCTCAACAGCACCAAAAATCTCCAGAGTTTCTAAAACACCTGTGGGCCTTAGATGAAGCCCTATGAGGCTCTAGTTGTTGTGAATCATCAATAAAAATGTTTATCACATAACTTACATACATAACATAAGCATTAAAAGAGATGTCCTGTTTGCATTTTTATGAATGTCGAGAGCTAAAATTGCTGAATCTTGAAAGCTTATATCAGGCATTAAAAGCAGAAATAATATCTTAAGATCTCTTTGAATACAGAATTATACACAAATGTTCTTTTGGATAAAAGTTATGTACTGTGTCAAAAATATTATTTTTATTGCAACTGATACATGCCCTTTTTTTTTTGCATGCAGGATTTTTGTTAGAAAAATCATTCAATGTTTGGAAAGGAAATCATTTGCTCTGTAAACCAGAAAAAATAAAAAATGATATTTTTCAGCAAATAATTAGATTAATGTAATTTCATAATTGATGCAAAACTGTTTTGTTGGGGAAAACTTGTGAATAAAGGTATTATTTTTGTTCATTAGATTGTGCGTGAAAGGGGCAAAATTGTTACGTTTTTGCCTCCGTGCTTTTTTTGGTCCTTCACCATCACGCAAAACTTGACAAAAATAATGGTATCTGAAGAATGATTAGAAAAGAGCTGTATATGGTCCGGTTTGTTCCACATATTCATACATGCTATTAATTGCAACTGTACGAAGAGCATGGAAACAGAAAATGAATCAAGGTACCACTTCACGTTTAGTTTGCTATCCACCAATATGAGACTCAAATGGTTAAGAGTAAAAATAAATCAAACAATACATGGCTTCAATTTAAACATCTAAGTCACTTGAGATAACCCCAAACAATACATGCAAGAGGTCGGGCAGGATATTTCAGTTAATTTATAATATCATGAGAGATGTACAAAAAATATTTTCAAATAAAAGTTGCAGGGGTGTTTTCCTCTAAAAGAATATTTTGAGTTTGAGATCAGTTAGGTGTGATAGACGTCGTTTTCGTCCTTGACACACTTTAACACTCATAACTTTTGCTCAATCATAAGACTAAGGCAGGATTTAGAAAAGATGGTTCAAGTAACAGGTGACAATTGGCGTACTTTTGAGCACATTGAGAGATTTGGGGTTTAAATATCTGCTGTGGTCTTTTTTGTTAATTGGTTGAGCAACTAAACAGGTTGTAGTCAACATTTCAAGTCAGTCAATCAATGATGTCAATTTTTTTTTTTTTTTCAGATCAGTACCGTGGTCCCTAACCTTCTGGACCAGTTTCATTCTCATTTTGGGTAAAGTAGTGTGTACGGCTGTATGCTGTACTGCGACGAGTGTTGCAACACTGTGTTGCAAAGCTGGCGCCTGTTGTATCCTACAACTTCTAGAGTAAAGTAAGAGAGTAAAGTTCTCATTAGCACGCAATTGGCTGCACATGACTGGATATAACATTTTGGCAATGAATATGTAGTGTCATGTCATGCCGTCATCCTCATTTTTTGCTGCCAGTCCCATGGTCCTATTGGTATGAATATTTTAAAACTAGCGGCATTTGGAATCGCCGATGCTCGTGAGAATAACTACTTCTGTTGTCCACGACCATCTTGGTTTTGTACTGGGACCAGCGAAGATGTATGAAGACTGTCACCATGTTGGCCAGACATTTCGCTGCTAATAGTCTGATAGCATCTCAGCATCTGACATCCAAAAGCATCTGGAATAGGCTCCCAATTACCCACGAACCTTGTTTGGACAAGAGCTATCGAAAATGATAAATTATTGAAGTGAGAGGCTTCCATTTTTGTGGCATATTAATTAAAAACATGCTTCTTGGTTCACCAAAATTTGGACACAATAAGAATGAAATATGTATTTGTCCATGTGTGGAAGGACGAAACACAGGCAGCCCAGAAGTGAGCACACTCACCAAATTCAACATGTGGCACTCCGTAACGAACACTCACAACTTGGCCTAAGAATGTAATTACAGAGGTTCCCCTGCGGAGCCTTCAGACAAAATGAAGGCAGCCTGCATTTTTGGTCTTTGTACGTGTGACCTGTACATGCTCAATTTCACATAGAATTAAGTTCGGGTCACTTTTGCTTACTCCTCATGTTCATCTGTATAAATATAGTGGAATCATTTGATACAATTTGTTCAAATGTTAAAAAAAAATCTGCATGTATTTATGAATAAAATTTATAGACATTAAAATGTCTTAATAATAATCATCATCACCAAGTTTCTGTAACATATGCTTCCATCTTTCTGCCATTTTTGTTTTGTGCTTAAGACCTCCACTCTTATACTATTTTTAATGTACTTTTTTACTTGAATATTGAATCTCTATTCTGCCCTACTTGTCCGTGTCCGGGACGTGAACAGATAGACAGATAGCGAACAACGAAAAAAGACCAAGATTCCAAAACGTTGAAATGGAGCTTTAGTTTTCTTTTTCCTTATGTTGTAAAACTACAGAGAAACAGAAACACAAAAGGAGGACGTTTTCATTAAACACTATTCAAAATAAATGTCTCTGTGTCATCACTGTACATTTAACTAATGTAAACTTGGCTTATTGTATCATAAATACAACAGAAAATATGCATGTTTAGCATCGAAAATAACTGCGACTGGCATGCAATCGCCCATATGCTAGTATGGATAGCCCAAACGCTAACGTGGCATAGCAAAAAAACGGACAGAAATACGTTCTTAATATTACATATTTTCAAGACTAGAATTAAAGCAACGGTTT